TAGGATCAAAATTTAATTGCTCCTGAATATTCGAATATTGACATCAGTTTGTAATGTCAGTTAAATATCTAAGGGAATTTGATGGGATAGGTGAATAACTTTGGTATCTATTTGTCATTTCAGACAACCCCCCAAGAGAATATGAAGTCTCATTATGTGAATCTAAAATTATGATATATATATATAAAGTTAATAAATAATTGAATATTATATATAAGAAACTGTAGATAGATTCAAAATACTAGCGATAGTAAAATTTGACATTTAAAAAATATAGTTTTTAATCGGAAAAAAAGTCTAAATTTAAAAAAATTATTAGAAGTTTAAAATTAAAATTGTCGCGAATTAAAAAAATAATATTAGAAATTTTAATTTAAGTTAAATTACTGGAAGTTTTTAAAAATAATAATATTTTCTCAACATTTTCTTTCAAGTTTTTAAAGTTAAATGTGTTATTTTAATTATTTTTGCAAACAAAATATTTTTATCTGGATGAGTTTTAATTTAATAGTCAACATGTTTCATTAAATCAATACAACACTGTATAATATATAATTTGCTGATCCTTTCATTTTAGGTTGTCATATACCACATGCTCCCTTATACATTTACAATAACATAATAATAATAAAAAAATTAAAGTAGAAAATTATAAAGTACCGCCAAATAATATATAAAAAGTGTACAAAGAAAAAAAATTAATGACAAACATTATTTCCAAAACAAAATAACTTTCTTTTAAAATTAACCTCTTCGATCTCTTTTATATTTTTTTTATATTTTTTGGATTGATACTTTTTATTAATTTAAGAAAATGATAAACACTAAAATATTAAAACATGTATAAAAATATGTAAAACTAAATAAAAATAAAAATATATATATTATAAATATACAAGGCTCTAAAAAGAGCTTAATTTTATAATGAATATATTCCTAAAAAACAAGTATAATTGTGTTTAAAAATTTTTAGTTGAAGTTTTTGTTTAAGAAATAAGGATTTGCGATTTTCGTTTGTTATGTTAACGTGATAAAGTTTTTTTAAAAAAATATGTAGACTGAAAAATTGCCGTTAGTTGATATGACTATTGGCTGAAATATAAAGTTATTTAATTTTAAATATTTATTAATTTTTTTATTTTCCCCACAAGTAAGAGGGTTTGAATTAATGGATGAAGGAAAGGAGGAGACGCAGGTTGCTCCCAAATAAGGGATTTCCCATTGGACCAGGGGGTGCAGGTTAAACCGTCGGGTCTGAGGCCGTCCTGTAATGAGAGGTTGGGAGGTTCAAGGATGTTGGGTATTTTAGCCTTATTAAAAGCGTTATGGATGATTTTATTAATTGCTTTATGCCGGAGATGGCGACCTTGGCTGTGGGTGCAATTTAGGCCGTGTCTAGCGTTAAGTAGAACGGGTAAGCTGCATTGGTGTCAAGTGTGTGACTGTGTAAGCAAACATCCAAGTCTAAATCCTATAGCAACTCTCAGTTTGTCATTGGTTAAGATATTATCTAAGGTTTGGCTTGGAAGTGCTTCGAGCCATTCATGCCCGCCGTATTTATCGTTAAATTGTAATAGTTGTATATGACTAATATCGGTAGGGTTAAGACTATTTTTTAATTTCTTTATTAAGGGTTCGATGATAGATTTATTAGAGATTTCGGTTAAAAATATATAACCGTCTGGGTTAAGTAGATTTCATCTTTCAATTGCTGCTGTTAGAAGATCATCGTTGGGAGTGAATGATGAGATCGCAGAATTGATCGATAGGCGATTTGAGATATATCATTTACATAGTCTATAATATAAATTATCTCAAAAAAAGTTAACCAAATAAATCTTCATGCATATATATGAAAAATAAAATTTACATATATAATATCACAACAGATCTCATACACACATTTAAAACATCCTAAATCTTGTCGAATCTGATCTAGTGTTGTTAAACGGCTCGTTTTGAGCCGATTTTTTAACGGCTAACTCAATATTTTACCCAGAAAAATATTGCCTAAGTCTGGAGATTTCGATAATATATGTCTAGACCTTTGTTCCTTCTATGAGCAAAATCTTCAGGCTTGAGTAGGATTTTTCTGGATGAAATATTGAGTTAGCCGTTTTTAAAAATCGGCTCAAAACGAGCCGTTTAACAACAGTAATCTGATCCTACTATAAATCTAGCCTATTAAATAGCAAATAAGATAATGTAATAACAAATGAGCAGGTTTAATATCAAAATTATCAAATAGTCGCTGATGTTAAATACTTTGGAGAACACTATATGAAATAAATTATCGGAAAAACATAACTTATTTTTTTTGTTCTAGTTTACACTAGTAATATGTAATAAAGTTTAAAACTAACATCATGATATAATTATACTTTTATCTCGTTTGGTATTACATTCTCATTTAATGTTAATTTGCTTATTTTTGATTATAATAAGCTATTAAATTTTGTCATTTACTATTAAATTTGCACCTTTGCTATTAAATGTAATTCTCTATCAAACGTTCACTTTTGCTATTAAATTTGCATTCGTTTAGACTAAATGGTTTTAGATAAAATCTATTAGGCAAAATAGCTAGAGTCGAAGGGCACCCCAGACAAAATTTTATATAATATTAATCAAATATCAATTATGGAAATATTTATTGTTTTTGGCAATAATATAAAATTATATTACAGGGTTTCCCATCCAAAAAAGGAAAAGTCTCAATCAAAAATGGAAAAGGTTCAATCAAAAAAGGAAAAGTGTCAAACAAAAAAGAAAAAGGTCCAATCAAAAAAGGAAAAGTGTCAATCGAAAAAGGAAAATTCCCAAAAGAAAAGGAAAAGGGTCAATCAAAAAAGGAAAATTCCCATTCAAAAAAGGGAAATCGTAATTTTTTTAAAAAAATATATAAAATTTTCAATTTTTCTTAAATTTATTTATTTTTGTCATTCCTTCTTATTTTATTTCTAACTTTTTGCGATTTCTTTTCTTTATTTGTATATTTTCTTTATTTGTATCTTTTCTTTATTTGTATCTTTTCTCAATTTATTTTCCTTACTATATCTTTTCTCTATTTCTTTTTTTCTCATTTTTGATAATTCTTTTTTAAAATTATATTATTTTTTTTGGCAGACTATTTTTTACATACATATTTATAATTATACATATTAAATTAATCGTTTGGTTATAATAAATAAGTTTGAACTGTAATACCAAACGATATGTAAATTAATAAAATATAATCATTTTAAAATTCTTATATTTTTAAAATTTTAATATATTCAAAACGCATTTATTCTTTTTAGCAAGTAAAATTATTTTGTAATTTAATTATCTTTTAAACTATTTTGATTTATGAAAAATTAAAGGCAAATGAGGTAAATTTTATAATCTTTTTCACTTCCATTTGTTGAGTATATACTTTAAAAATAAATTTTTTTGTTTTAAAAAATAAAATTATGAAGATATGGTAAAAAGGGGAAAAAATATTAACAGTGAAACAAAAGCTCTAATAATTGACGCGTTAAAAAAAGATAGTATCAAAAATATAGCATCATGTTTTAAAGTAAGCTATAAGACAGTGACAAATATTAAATACTCTCATCTCAAAAATGGAATAAAATATAGCTTACCCAAAGGAGGTTCACGCGCACGCAAGAAATTAAATAAAGAGCAGAAAGAATATATATTAAATTGTATAAATTTGGATTGCACTTTATTCTTAAAAAGGTTATGTGAAATCATTAAAGAAAGATATGATGGCGAAATATCAAAAAATACGGTATCAAGGTTACTCTCAGGATTTAGGTACAGCTTTAAAAGAGTATCATTACGTTCAGTTAGAGAAAATAACGAATCAAATATAGAGATTCGCAAAGAATACGCGAATTGGTTTGTAGATGTAGCATATATGAAGGAAAAATTTATATTTATCGATGAGAGCGGGTATGAGGCGATTATATGGATATTCCCAAATAAATAAAAAGGCAATTAAAAATGTTCAAGGAATAAAGACAATAAATTACACTATCATTGCGGCTCTCACAATTGCAGGAATATTTCGATTCGAAGTTCTTGATGGCCCTTGCAATGCTATATATTTTAGCAACTTTATAAATGAAATATTAAATCATTTTGAAGAATCTAACATGATTAATATGATTTTTGTGATGGATAATGTTCCATTTCATCACAATCATTCAATTAGGGAATTGATCGAAAGAAAAGGACATACATTGAAATATTTACCACCCTACAGTCCGTATCTTAATCCTATTGAGAATGTGTTTTTTCAATGGAAGGATTTTGTCAGAAATAAAAATCCTAGTAATGAGGAAGAATTAATTTGTTATATAGAACATGGAGAAAGAGGAATATCTGAAGAAAATGCAAAAAATTATTTTAGAAATATGGAGACATATATCCCAAAATGTAGAAGGGGAGAAATTATTAATGATTAATATAAATTTTTGTTTCGTACTATATTAAATATATATCGTAATTGTAATTAAATAATTTCATATGTAAAAAATTATAATAAAAAAGTTGTCTGCCAAAAATTTAGTGAAAATTAAATATACTTAAAAGAATTATCAAAAATGAGAAGAAAAAAAATTGAGAAAAGATACAAATAAAGTAAAGAAAACGCAAAAAGTTAGAAATAAAATAAGAAGGAATGACAAAAATAAATAAATTTAAGAAAAATTAAAAAGTTTATATATTTTTTTAAAAAAATTACGATTTTCCTTTTTTGAATGGGAATTTTCCTTTTTTGATTGACCCTTTTCCTTTTCTTTTGGGAATTTTCCTTTTTCGATTGACACTTTTCCTTTTTTGATTGGACATTTTCCTTAACCTTAGGGACTTTTCCTTTTTTGATTGAACTTTTTCCTTTTTTGTTTGACACTTTTCCTTTTTTGATTGAACCTTTTTCTTTTTTGATTGGGACTTTTCCTTTTTTGGATGGGAAACCCTGTATTAAAAAATTTTTTCTTAATTTTTTTTAGAACGTTAAATGGTTCCATCCTTCATTAGGAAAGCGTGATATTCCACTAGAAAAAAGGGATGCAACTTCTGATAATCTAATAACATTAGGTATATAATATTTTTTAAATACTCTTTAAAATACTAATGAGCAGTTAATTCCTAAATCGTTCGTAGAGATTAACATTGAAATACTTGTATTTTCAATTGTACATACCCACCACGGCTTAAATATGCAGGGATTTAAATAAGAGCCAATATCATAATCATATATATCTAAATATTTTAAAAAATTTAAATTCTAGTTCCAAATTTGGTTAAATAATTAACTATATTAACCCTTTAGATTGATCTTTTTTTATAAGATTTATCTAATAAAAATAACAATAAAAAACAAAATTACAGTCAAAAAAAAAATTTTTTCCTTCAAAATCGATTTAAATATCTTTACTTGAATAAATATATTTTAAAAAAATTAGGGTGTCGTAAGATGATTAACGAAAACGGAAAATATATTTTCCTTGCCGACGATATTTCAAAAATGTTTAGGGTATGTTCTACTTATATCATAGGACAACTCGACTCTTTGATTCGTATAAAATTCGTAGCTTTTTCTATTGAATGCACGAATGGGGGTTCAATGTTTGTAAGTCACAGTTAAAGTGGAAAATATTACTCGAGTTTTCATAATATATCAAGTAGTGTTTTTTAAATCATTTAACTTTGGTCAGTTTCCATACGATTTAGTCAAGCTATTTAAAAAATTGAACTTTAACCTATAATTTGTCTCAACTTAAAGATGGAAATGAAATTTTCAGGATGAAAATATAACTAGGTCGTTTTGGAGTTCGCAAAAGTTAGGTTATTTAACAACACTACTTTCACGCTAAGCGAATAACTGGATATTTTTTTGCCTTACAACTACTTATATTTTATAACAACAAATTATTTAGTGTATATATTAAATATAATTTTTAAAACTTAAATCATTTATAGAGTGCGTTTTTAAAAAAAAATTTTAAATAGATCTGGTTTTGCCGATCATCGAATTTTAGACAATTTCGTCAATAGTATTATCAAATTTGCAATGTAAAGTCTAATATATCAAAAATTAATTATAAATAAAGTATAGTTGGAAATTTCACGACAAAATTGTCGAAATTGGCGAGGCAGGCATACATTTTCTGTACATGCTGGAATAAGATTCCTGAAGAATTCAAATCTTTTAAAATTTAAAAACGTCCACCATAAAAGATTTAGGTATTTAAAAATTTGTTAAGAGCCTAGATTTAATAAACCCCTACATTTTTATATTAAAAATAGCTTTAAATATGGTTTTTCCCAGTTTTATTATTAAAGTATTTCTACTATCTTTTTTAAAGCAAAAAAAAAGACTAATTTTAAATTTAAAAAAATTAAAAAACCGCATATTACACGCTGCCAAATTTAAGTGAGTTTAAATTTAAATAGTTAAGTGAAATTGAATAAAAACCTCAAGAATTTTTTATATTTAAATAAAAAATTAATATACATGATTTTTTTCAGGAATCCAAACCGAACCTGAACCGAACCGTTAAACCGCTAAAAACCTGTATTTTTTATCGAACCTAAACCGAACCTAAACCTCTAAAAAATTTCTAGCCGAACCTGAACCGAACCACTAAAATGCCTCTGAACCGGTTCGAGTCTCATTATTTTATGCTTATAAAATAATGTGTAAGTTTTTACTAGTAGTATATTGCAAAAATATTAATTATATTCAAATTGTTTTAAAAATTATTATCAATCACATTTGATTGATAAACGTCAGTCATAATTTTTATAAACTTTAGTATATTGCCATTTTACAATATTTTTTAAATATTTTAAGCTTATAAATTATAATGCCTAGAAAAAAATTAAATCTAATATATAAATTTTTACATATAGTTTTATAAATGACACATCAAATCTGATATCATACTGGCAATGCCAGCTACCCAAGTTAGTGTGGGAGGATGTTTTTCAACAAATAAATTTATATTATCTCCTAATAGATGTAATTTGAGTGAGACGAATTTTGAAAATATATTAATTGTGCAGCTTAATAAAAAAAAATTAAGTAATTGTACATATTAAAATTATGATATATTTTTTTGTTATATTTATAAATAATATTATTTTATAATGTGCAATTAATAAAATGAAGGTTTTTATTTTAATTATGAAATTAAAAAAAAATTTTCCTTATACATAATTCTAATGTAGGTTTGAATACAAAAATGTTCAAATCGGTTTTTAGAGGTTCGAACCGAACCGATATTTTTATTTTTGGCGAACCGAACCTGAACCTTGAACCGTTATTTTTATCCGAACCTGAACCTGAACCGATATTCGTTTCGGTTTGGATCCCTGATTTTTTTGTAATTTTAGATGTATACTTGTTCAATTGATAATATTGGCAATGTCAATGAACCAATCAATCTGATGTTTTAAATAGTATTTCACAATATCGAAAAATTTATATTCATCATAATATCTTTAAAAAAATTATGCTAAAAATCACAAGGTAATTGATGGTTGGGAAATGCAAGATGAGTTTTTCCCTTCTACGGCAGATACGAAATACGACGTCGACAATTTAAAACCCTTTTGCATGCCAGTTAGAGATTTTTATCCAGAATACGTGTTTGTGAGCTCACAAAACGTTGCTCAGATACAATTTAGAGTTACAGGGCCCGGGCAGGGTTTTATTGCCGATATAGAAATCACTCCTAACCCAAGACGTTATCATTTTCTAAAAAAAGATTTTCTTCTTTTCTTCTTTTCTTTAAATTTCTATATTTTCTCTTGTTTCCTATATTTTACCTTTAACTTTGCCTTACTTTCCTTTAAGATCCTTTAAATATTTGTTAGAATTTATATATTTGCTAATAATATTTTATGCACTATCTAAAAAAACATAACAGCGTGTAACGCGGTAGCCATGTCCCCCATCGGGCAGCATACCCTGAGAAACTACGGCAATAAAGTAAATTGCTCCTTGAGCATAATCTACCCAGAAAAAGTATTAATCAGAAAATTGAAAATAGGCGATAATACACTAGAATCCAATTATAAATACTTGAAATACTCTTTAAACAACAATAGATCCAAAACAACTATAAATGATGATGAGTCGAAGGTAGAACCTATAGAAAGAGTTAAGAATTTAAACCAAAATGGGTTGGACGATTATCCAAATTTTATATATAAAAGAAGATTTGTTCTCAAAAGGAATATGATGGGGGCCAAATTTACTCCGCTATACAGATCGGAAAAAGAAACTTCTAAAGTATGAATCATTATAGTTTAGCACATTAAGTTATATTAATTAGTTATACATTTCTTTTATCAGTTAAAAGATTTCTTCTTTTTCCAAATGAATAAAAGAGTTACTTTTATCAATAAATTAGTAGTTTTAGGAATCAAGATCAACTAAATATATAGAAAACTTTATTAATTTGATTTGATTAATTAAATTAAAGTGGAACTTCAATTTTCAAACAATTTATATAGTGATATATTATCTATAATGATTAAATTTTAATTTTGCAGGTTTTAAATCAAACATATTGCATATTATTTTTCCCGAGAAAATAAATAAAAGTGCTAAATTTTGAAGGATGACACAATGCCATAACAATTTCAATCCAAATTATTTATTCAAAAAAAACAGAAAAAATATTTTTGTATAAAAATTATTAAATATCTCATCATATATTTTTATATTTTTGTAAGTGCTTCCAAATAGGCAGAAGGGATTACGTCGAATTCAAAGAGGGTAATGGCTTAGACCCTATCAGGATGGATACGTTGATTGATATGTGCGGAATAAACCCTAATCTCAGTTATAAATTTATTTTTTTTAAAAAGACATAAAATCTTTCGAAATGAAACCTCCAACAAGGGAGCCATTCTCCTTATCTTGGCTTGTTTAAATTAGATCCGTATATTATATTATCTAACTTTTCTTATTATACTTATAAATCTTAATTGAGCTAGTTAATATTTTTTGATCATTTCAATTTTCACTTATGCAATCAGTTAAAAAAAATGTTTGGCTGTCTTTTTAATTTATTTTATTATGATGACATTTATTAAATTTATAAAAATTATAATAAAAAATAGCATAATGAGATCCGAGGAAACTAAGATAATAGATTGAATTTTCCAATGATAATAATTAATGATCACTAAGCTGATATAACAATCTTTTGATTTTACAAAATTTATACATTGTAATGTATCATACCTTGTAAATTGGCATCATGGCCATAATGGAAGGAAGCTTGTGAAGACCTGCCCCTTACCCCACCAAATCTTTGAACCCCAAAGAAATATGGCAGATTTTGCTCTTTTCGTCATTTTTATATAGAAGTGAATTTTAATATATATATAAATATTATTAACCATAAATTAACCTATATATCAATATTTTATCATGTTTTATACATCACGAATTTAATAAATAATAAAATGTAAAAAAAAAAAAAAAAAAAATTATCACTAATATTACATAAATTATCACTTATATTACATAAATTATTACTTATATTACATAAATTATCACTTATATTACATAAATTATCACTTATATTACATAAATTATCACTTATATTACATAAATTATCACTTATATTACATAAATTATGATTAATTATACCTTAGTAATTTACCAAATATTGATATATTATACATTTTTGATTCATTACCAAATTCATATTTCAAACTGTTTATTCATTATAAATGACGAAAAGTGATCGAAATAGCAATTTTCTGAATATAATCAAAGTATGCAAAAACTAAGCCCTCAAGCCCTCCCCCAATAAAAATTCTTAATTGACCATACAATGGTGCCATTCTAATTATACTTAAAGAATATATCTATAATTGTGTATATCGGCTTTAGCTATGTACCTTTTTTGCAAAAAGCATTTTTCGATAAATCATTCCTTCAGTACTGTATTCTTCCTTATAACCAATAAAAATGTTAAAATATAATTCAAAATCATCTTTTATTTACATTATTATGGTGTGATCTCCTATCTAAAATACAAAAATATTATTTTAATTTACTGAAAAATTATAACAAAAAATGGATAACGAACACCATAATTTTCAGTCCACGATATGTATAATCATTTCAAATTAGATTTTAAACTTTATGTGTTTAAACCCCGCTAAATAAGTTTAAGGTAATATTCGAATTTTAAATAATGCACTTATCGTTTTAAAAGAGACATAAATGTAAGTAATGTTGAGACGGCTAGATTGGCGCCGATTTTTAAAAACGGCTAACTATTTTTCCAGAATAATATTATACAAACCTGAAGACTTTTCTCAGAGATGGCATGAAGGATTTAGGTCTATTAGCTAAATTTTGAAGCGTATACAATATTTTTCTGGCCAGAATATTGAGAGCGTTTTATTGGCTCAAATCGAGCCGTTTAACAACACCAATTTAAAGTAATATACTATATACTAGGTAAAAAATAATTTGAAAATCTGATTTTGCATGAAAAATATTATTTTAAAGATATGCAAGTTGAGTTAAAAAAGGAGCATTCTGTCATAAGGCTGGTTTCGAGTGGTGATTACGACAACTTCATAACGTTCGAATATGAAAAATTGGATATTTGAAAGGACTCAAAAAATTCAATATATTATTAATTTTTTAAAATAATAAAAGGAATTTATGTATTATTATACTGAATTACTAATCAAAGAATAATATCATTTATCAACTATTATAATAATAAATAAAAAAATTTCCTGATAACCTTATAATAAAAAAATTATCATATATTATGCATGTATTCGATATATTAGAGTTGTAAAATTAAATAAAGTCTCAACTTATATTTTAACATAAAACTCGTTTTTTTAAATAAAACTGCATTTTTGGGAATAATATAGATTTATATAAAATGTTAATTTGCTTTATAACGTGGATAGGACAATTTTATTTAAATTTTATTGAACAAGAATATTAAAGTACAGTAAAGGGGAGCTTAAACGGAGACATTTATTGGTTCCTTTACTGGGCCCAAAAAAAACCTCCTCTGTTCCGGGTTTGGGAAAGTTCCTTATTGATTAATCTGTAGTTATATATTAAAATAATTATTACACCTAATTATTAATTTGCCTGTGATAAGTGTACATCTAGGGGTGAAAAAATTCCTTTTTAACCTTCACTTGGCTGCTCAGATACAAGAGACACTTATTGTATGTAAAGAATAATTTGATCTGTTCAAACTAGAGTCCTTCAGGACTGACGGTAACATCATCCGTCAATAAAATATAGGCCCGCGGCTCGAGAAACATAAATATTCTTCTCTCTTTTTTTCTTTTTTTTTAAGCTTGATTGAATATCACAATTATAAAATAAATTTAAAAAATTCTTAAAGTTTTTAGAAAAGAAATAAGAAAGCGAGAAAGATTTACTATTAATTTAATTTTCTTATAATATTTTATAAATAAATAAAATAAAATAAAATAGATAAGCATAACTAATTGCTGAATATTTTAATTTAATGCATATAATTGAAATAATGAATAAATTAAATATTGGCTGGGTTTGGATTTGGAGAAATATTTTTTGACACCGAGGTGTGCGGATTCGGGCTCAATTTTTTTTTTAAATTTTGCAGGTCTCTTAATTAAAATAATTATTCGATAACTTTAAAAATTAAAAGCAATATTTATCTCCCTTCATTTAAGTGAGAATAAATATGCGTTATGCACATAGTAGATGTAGATTATAAACCTTTGGCTATTATATTACTACTCTTTGGTATGTAGGTGACAAAGACTTGGCGAGAGAGAACCCCCACCGCCTGAGATTTGAAGTTATAAATATATGAAGAAGTTAAAATGAGGTATAGAACATTATAATACAATTCATTACTATTATATAAAATAAGCAACTTTAAATACTAATTTCCATTTTAGATATCGCAGTTACATATTGTAACGAGGCTAACGAGGAGGAAAATCAAGGAAAAATGATCTGTTTTTTTTTCTTTCGCTAAAATAATAAAAGAAAATGTATTGAAAACTTATGGATATCTCGAATGATCAGTTATCCTGGAAAATTGTCTTAAAATCTAAATGTCATCAAAGAAATTCACTAGTATAATTTAAAATAAAAATATTGTAGGTTTTTTGTCTATATTACACCTTTTTTTCATAAGACCAATTTATTACAGAACTTAAATATAAACAAATTAATTTGAGCAATTATTCTAAAAAATTTAATCCTACTATTATATATAAATATATTATAGTTAGACCTGTGCGCCGACAGCATTATCGGCGGCGGGGTTTCTTTTTTTAAAACGATCGGCTGACGGCGGCGAAATTTAGACGCCTCCACAAAATCGGCGGTGGCGCGGCTGTAATAAAATTTGTGCTATTATGTTTATCACTATAATTTAACTATTTTATTAAGTTATAATTAACATGTACAAACATTATTTTATTTAGATTTATAGGACATAATGATCTTTTAGATTTCAGAAATCCCAGCTATGGAATACACTCTCGTAGCTAAAACGCTCAGGACCTTTCTAGCAAATATTGAAATTTTAGGAAGATCTAATGCTTCTATCTACCAAAAATCAAGGATATACTGTATTTTGTTACAGGGTATTGCAATGCTGCATTCATTATAATTGTTTAATTCCTGCTATGTTTATATATATTATAATGGTAATAAAATAAAAGTCATTAATTAAAATTTCCTTTTATGATAAAAAATAAATTTTATATTATTAAGAAAATATTGTATTACTCCTTAAATAATAATTGATGGTCTTATGCAAAAGATTTGAAACATCAAAAATAAAAAGAATAAAATATATATCTTATCTTATCTTATCTAGCACGTTGGTCATAGACCTGCCCAAAATGAGCGAACGTGAATTTTATGAAGGCCCACCCTTCATAAAATTATGCCGATTTTTTTTCTCAAGGATACCAACAAACCTTGTACCCAGTTGTAGTTTAACTAAATGAGTGAAATTTACCCTTTCCGATATTGTAATTGTAATTTATAAATTAATAATATAAAGACATATATTTCTTATTTGTTTTTTAATCTTGAATAGTTATATTCATAAGGAATGAGTTAAGAATATTTGAATCCATAGACATCAAAATTCCATTTCATTTGTTAGGTTATATTCTTCCAAAAGATGAACCGGGAAATCTTCGCCATTTGGGATGGATAGATGAATGGAAATATATTTTTGAAATTTTTTTGAGAAGTTAATATTTGAATATCTTTTCCGTAAATTACTAGCCTATATCATCTTGTTACAAATGTTTTTATAGCAAATAATATTTTATTTTTGTTTTTTTTCGCCAATAACTTTTATAATAATATTTCAATATCTTTTCCGTAAATTACTAGCCTAATAATAACATATCATCTTGTTACAAATGTTTTTATAGCAAATAATATTTTATTTTAGTTTTTTTCGCCAATAACTTTTTATTCTTAAATTCGGCTACAAAAGTGATTGAAGCACTACCTTCTACTAACCAAGCACTAAAGAATGATATAAGTTTAATCGTTAGTGCTTCCAAAAGTTCGGCCACCTTCACGCCTAAATCGTGACGTCATAATTTTTATTTAGCTAATTACTTTTTTCCATATGGCGGTTAGCTAAATTAATAACGAAATTTAAATACATTATTTAAGCGCTAAATAATGGCGAAACCCGGATGTTTAGTACTACTATAGTTTTTGTTTTGGCACGTCGCCATTATTTGTTTATTTTTGTTTTTTTCGCCAATAACTTTTTATTCATAAATTTGGCTACAAATGTGATTGAAGTACTAACCTCTACTAACGAAGCATTAAAAAATGATATACGTTTCATCCTTAGTGCTTTCAATCAACTTTTAAACGTGAAGTTGGCACAAATTTTTATTTTTGCTTATAACTTTTTTCCCTTAAATTCGGTTACTATACGGATTGAAGCATTAACCAGCACTAAAAAAATGACATATGATTCATCGTTAGTGCTTGCAATTGTTCGGCCAACTTCATTTCAGATATAAAAATAATTATTTCTTAGCTAAAATAAATATAAAGCCTTTTCTGATCATAATATTATTTTTAAAGTTAATTTATTATTAGTAATGATGTCGGGTAACATGAATGGGAAGGGTGATTAATTTAATGATGTTATTATTCTAAAAACTAACTAGAATACTCTAAGCCAATCAAACTAAGTGTATTGATATTTATCTCGAGGGACTACACAAAATAGATGGAGTAACGTGCCAATGTCATTCATCAAAGCAGTTAAAAAATAAATGTTGGATATTATAATAATCTCGATCTTAACCAAATCGAAAATATATAGCTAATAAGAAAGAGTTATAAAGGCATCGTTGGTGCAAAGGAATATTTGTAAGTAAATTTACAATATATCTGGGATAAAATAGCCCTTAGGAAACCTATCACTTGACATGACTGCAGCTAATTAATTCTGTCCAATAAAATTATCGTGACCGCTATTATCTAATCAAACTGTGACTAAATTGATTATGATGGTTATTATTTATTAAATCGAACCCCTATTTTCAATTTTATCATAATTCTGAAAAATGTTTGAAGAAAGTAAGTATTTATATATATATATATATTAGGGTATAAGAAATTTTATCATAATTTTTCAAAGGGCCAATTTAAAAAACAAACAGTTCCTTCGGTGTTTTTTTTATTTCAAAAATTACGTATATGGTCGTAGCGTAGTTGTATGTGTATGGTGTAGTAAAAAAAATATAATTACTTTTCCTAAAATAATTTATAACATAAATTACTTGCATTTTTGTTCAAACGGGTTCCGAAACCGGTTCCTAAAAATTTTAAAGAAGGATTCCGGGTTCTGGTTTATATTTGATCGGATTCCAAATTCTGATCCTATTTGATTTTGCATAAATAGCAAAATTCTTTAAAGTTAAAAAAAATATTTTAGCATATGAGGATAATCCTAGAAAAAATTTTAAAAATACTCAATTCAATTTTTGTCAAGTAAAACACCAAAAATAAAAGTTTTAAAATACAGACACCTTTCCTTCTCTTAATTTTATTTAATCTTCATTTCTTTTTCCTATAAATTCCCGGAAATAGTAATATTTAAAATTTTCTATGAATATCTAATTTAACTATCCCTTTTTCGAAAGCAGTGTTTTCTTTTAGAATAACGGAAATCTCTCTTTTTCGCTTCACGCGTCTTAAAAATAATAAAATTAGGGTATTTCGAAACCGAACCCCAAAACCTTCACTTGAATACAACATCGGTTGTTAGTTACTGAAACCGGGTCCAGTCCGGTTTTGGAAAATTTTAATTTGTAAAAAAAATAATATAATTGAGCAATCAAGGCATCACCGCAAATGTAATACCATATAATTACTATCGTAAAACGTCTACACGAATGCAATTTTACATTCAAAAGTAGGTATAGATTATAAAGGCCTGATACGGCTCAGGATTGGTAAATAATGAGATAGATAGTTAGAATATATTACAATAATAAATATTAGGATTGATAATTTTTTTTTACCACAATATCTTTAATTGATCATAAATCGAAATGTTTTCGAGAAAATTTAACTAGTCCTACCTATGCCGAATGCGACTTAAAAAATCTGTATCTGAACCCGGAAACCGGGGCAAAACTTTGATCGGGTCCCAGGAAATACTTAGTTTTTTCTATGAAATCTGTTAGGACTTTATTTTTTGGGAGTTACAAATTTGTAATTCCTTTTAATTCAAAATGTTAATTTTTTAAAATTAAAATTAATCCATTGGAAATGTATAAGAAAAAATTCATAAAGAGGTATAATAAAATAATTAAGGTCCTTAAAAAATATAGTTTCTTCTTTCTTTTATGCATTCAAAGAATATGATTCTAAAAAAAATTTGTAACATTATAAAGAAAATTAAATTTTACGATTTCCATTTTACACAATGATTATAATATTTTATATTGTATATAATAATTCTTCCTTATTTAAAATGATGTTAATTTAAAAAAATAGATATGATCGTTTTTCGGATAAATTAAAATTTTTAAAGTTTATAATTTTTTTCTTGCAAAAATAGATTTCTTTTTTTAAATAAAAAGTGCTTTTATTAGCCACAAAAATATGAAATTTAATTTTTATTAAAACGTCCTTTTGAGTTGTAGCAAAAGGCTATTTTATAAAATAAAACATCGTTTAAAATATTTATAAAAAAAATGAATTAAACCTCATCTTTTTCCCCGATAACTCTTATAAATTAAATAAATTAGGTTACAAAAATTTTACGAAATTTTAGTAAAAAAAAAATAATTTTGGTATAAATTATAATGTATAAAAATTGTCGACCTATATTAAATTTTTTTTCTTAAATTTTTTTTTCACCATTAACAAGCATTATTATATAAAAGAAAAATCCTTATCCACGAATCTTTTATGAAGAAAATGGGATTATTCGGACAAGGCAGTTCAATTTTTGGGGGATTCATGATTCTCCAGTGCGGCATAATTTTGATGCCGACCCAAGGAATAAGATGGAATGATTGTGGTATAACAATTATTACTATTTGTATGCATTTTTTAAAAAATTTTTATTTATTGTTGAAGAAGATGGCAAAATGTGACCATTTCTGGTTCATCATTCCCCTCATTAAAACGAATATTATAACTATGATGGTCATCACTTGTTTTTGTTATAGCTAATTAAATAATAGTTTCAGTTTTGGAATTATATTGTGTAGCAAGTTAACTAATGAGGCTAAGATAGAATAAAACAAAGGAGGATATATTTTTAATGTTTTCTTACAAGGAGAAACCTTTTGCCTTAATTTTAACATGATTTAAGTTAAGATTCTATGTTCAGTAAAAACAGCGGGTTCGGTTAAATTAATTTTAATTTTTTGAAAACTATCAATTTTTTCCTAATCTTGCCCCTCATTCACAGTTAGCACGAATTCACGAAGTATAAAAAATTTGAAGTGAACAATACAAAAATACAGCATATTTTGTATATATAGCGCGAATTCGCCATAATTGTGTTTATTGCTGTTTTTTTTTTAATTTTTTTATTTACTCTATAATTATATTGGAAATATAATTTACCAATATTTTATTATAAATTAATCTACCATTATTTATCTATAAATTTTTCTATTTTCACAATCATCATATCTTGCTTATTTAAATAGTTTATTTTAAAAAATATAACTGCCATTTTGAAAATTAATTTTATAAATTTAATTTTTGAGTGATTCAAAATTTCGTTCAAATGCTTTTTAATCATGATTCATTTTCTTTTTTTTTTGTTTTTCATATTAAAAAAACATTTTTATTTTACATCCCTATTTATAACCAATAAGGTTATATCCAATCTAGTAATTCTAACAATTTTCGATTAAATAGGTATTCCTTTCTTATGTGTTCAATTATAATGACAGTTTTAACCAGGTTCACAAACTGTTAAAAATATCTGAAGATCAACAAAAAAAATTTTTTAAGGATCAAATTTTTTAAAAAATTTCAAATCTCTTTTATAGGTAAATGTTTTGTGATTTTTATGCATAAAAAATCTTTCACAATGAAATCACAAATTAATATTCAATTTTGTTGATCCTAAAAGATTTTTTCACAAAATTTTGGGCGAAAGAAAACCTACAAATGGTTTAAAGATTTTTATTAAAGCTTGCTTTGAACAACCTCATTTTAGTATAATTCTTAAAAGTAACATTTTTCAGATATTTTATTTTAGATCAGCATATAGTTGTCAAAAACATTTCTCTCAATGCTAATACATTATATTAAATATTAATACCAGAGTTAAATATTTAAGGTATGATAATTATGCTGGTCGACTGATTTAAGATGTTTTTTATAAATATTTTTGCAAGGTTGGGACTGGATGTCTGTCCTGCACCCGCAAATCTTTGTTTCCTCCCATGGTTTTTCAAAAAATACCAGTCCACCCATTTATTTAAAAATATTTTTTCGCCCGCCCGCTTAACGTAAAAATTATTTGATTGGTTGGTTTGGCTCTTTTTCATTATATCTTTACTTTTAACTTATAAAATACGCATTATCGTGAAATAAAAAATTTTTGAAAATTCGCTTGCCCGCCCATTTTTATATTTTTAACTCCAACCAGCCCAATGTTTAGAATTTTTATTTCTTTCTTTTTAATCTTACTATTTATACTTTAAAAAAAATAAGCATCAAAACTATGAGTTAAGTTTCTTAAGGTTCAATTGAACCGAATAATCGATATTTTAATTTTAATAAATAAATTCATCACAATAGAATAATGTAAAATAGTGATCATTGTCCGTTAAAATTTGTAAAAAGATTTTTCGGTTTTGGCACGTTAAAGAGATTTTGTACAAGCTTCCAGGTCCCGTAACCATTTGTAAAAGTATTTATTCTAAATTTTAAAAAAAAAATTGCGAAATTCTATATTTTACAAGAGTGGCTCACCCCGCGCCTGTAGAGCAGCCAAAGGGACAAGTTATATTCTAAACTATCCTTGCAAATCGCGCCTACAAATTTAAATTACAAGAAATATAAGATAAGGTAATGTAGTGATTGATGTAAAAAATTTTAAATAATCCATTCAGGAATTTTAAATTGTATTATGTTAATTAAATTTGTAAATTAAAACATTTAAAAAATGTTGATCCCGAAGCAAAATCGTTTAAAATATTTTTTAGATTAAGATCGAAATAAAATAAAAAATGTTCGGGTTAAGATTAGGTTCATCAAACATATTTAACCCAGTTCGTAGTTCAGGATCAAACCCTGTTGTTCACCTTTTATATATTTATTTAAATATAACTTAATTATAAGAAATTAAGAATTGATTTTCAGCAAAAATGATATTGAAATATTAATTAAATTGAGAGGGGAAATTCGTAATTGTATTACTTACATTAAATAATAGTAGAACAATCTAAAAATTCTTAATGTATCATGCAAATTTTTCAGATAATTCTTCTCTGAATTGACTTTTATTACCAAAATATACATATATTTTATATGTTGAAACCTTTAATAAAAAATTACCTGTTGTAAAGATATCCTAATAATAAAAAAAAAATATCAACTCCCTTTAAAACATTTTGAATTACGAGTACATAATATTTTGAAAGACATTACTTCTGTGATCCAATGAGATAAGGGTTCATATTTTAGAACAAAATATTAATATTTATTTATTTTTTAAACAACAAAAGGAAACTCGAAATCAATCGTAACTATATCGAAACTTGACCTGCAACCAAACCCACTAATCCTGCCAGGGCCCATATCCGTTTGGCTAGTAGTAAACATATCTAAGCCGCTTCCGAGAAAGGCTTATGCTGACGTAATGATAGCCAAAGAAGCATTTTCGTTCTCTTTACCGTTACCTTGCCCGCATCATAGTGATAAAGGAAAATGGTTCCAAATTTTTTATTATACTACATAAAAAATATATTTATTTAAAATTATGTGACGATGGCTATTATTAAAATTCCTGATTTATAAGCAGTAATCTTGTGAGAAAATGATAAGAATTTAGATATAAAACTAATTAAACCATTATATAGTAAATAGAGAATGTTCTGATATGTAGACTAATATTGCTTTAATTTTTATTTTAATTAAAAACTCCAAGTCAATGAAAAAATGCTGAATCAATTAATTTATCCAATACTCATACAAAAACTATTTGTAAATTATTTATCAAGAGTTATGTCATCCTTCTTTGGAAGACATTCCAATCATAAATTAACTCTTCCATTTTATCAAATATAAGATATCAACCCTACTTTTTCTTTTAGATTGACTCCTATTTAATCACTCAGAATTAAAATTGAAATGCTCAGATAAACATTTTTAATCTCTCAGAATAATTACTTAAGGTTCAGACAAAAAACTGAAACTAAGAATTATTTTTTAATGGCCAGATAAAAAAAAACTTAATTGTCTAGAAAAAATATATTAATTTCTCAGGTATAAAAAATAGAAAGGCTCAGATTAAAAAATGAATTTCTCAGAAAAATATATGAAACGCTCAGAAAATCCATAGATTTTAAGAAAAATATCTAAAATTTATGCTCTCTAGTTTAACTCCACTCCAATCAATTTTATAAGAATCCATGAGAGCAATTTTAGAAAACAAAATGACACTTGTCTTATAAAAAAAGAAGTGTAATTTGATGCATAATTATAAAATAAATATTATGAATTATCTTTTGGAAGATTTTATTGTTGACTGAAGACTAACAAGGAGAGCTGATTCAAATAATTTAAATATTCATTATTTTTCTAATTATAAAACGTAAAAAGCAAATTCGAGATATGTACTTCGATGGAAAAATATTTCAAACCACTATGCCAATCGTATCCCGGTTTTGAAAAATTTCCTTGTTCGTGTCCAGTTAACGTGGGATCACATTCCATCAATAATTTAACCGTTTCTTTACCTTTCGATGTCTCGGATTATAAGGTTTCAAATTTATTTTTGTGTTCGGGCAAGAGATTATTGGTTAGATATTTTGGTGTAAAATTGTTGAGTACCCTATGTCTTAGTTTTATTTTTCTTTGGCAATATTCTAAATCATAATTTAAAATGGAGACTTATGGGAACCATTTTTTTCCATCTGGTATACAATCTTATAAAAAAAATATTTATTAAATTTCTTTTACAAATGTAAAAATTGGGGGTGTTGTAGTGTTGTTAAACGGCTCGTTTTGAGCCAATTTTTAAAAACGGCTAACTCAATACTTCATCCTGACAAATATTACCCAAGGCTGAAGATTTTGCTCATAGAAGGAACAAAGATCCAGACATATATTGTAATCTTGAGGATTAGGCAATATTTATCTGGCTAAAATATTAAGTTAGACGTTTTTAAAATTCGGCTCAAAACGAGTCGATTAACAACACTAGGGTGTTGTAAGGAGTCTGTAGTGTTGTTAAATTGCTTGGTTTGATAGAATTAATTTTTACCAGCACTTAATAAAATTTAATGTATATTGTTTTTTGCTTATTCATATTTTTATGTGAATTTTTTTTAATGAAAATAAAAACAAGTATAAACAAAAATTGAATACTCTTACTTATAATATATAGACAATAAAATATTATATTAAGTTTGTCTTTTGATTGTTCCCATGGTCTGATCTCTACAATTCAACTATGTGGTTCTGTTTCAGTCTGATATAAAATGATATCTTTTAATATTGATTAGAATCAAAACATGTCATGATAATATAAATACATTATAAATGTTAATATAATAAAATTATATACAAAAAAATGTAAAAGAATTTTAAAAAAATTGGCTCCTTGGGAAGGAGGTTTCCAATGAAACTAATTTGACTTATGTATGGCAATAGAAATGTTTAAAGTAAAATTCTTCCCTAGGTTCATTGGTAATTTTTCTATGTGAATCAAGTTCCCTAAAGATTAAGCATGGCTGTATAAAAATGTACTCTTCAGATATTTCCAAATATTTATTTATTTTTGACAGCTCTTTGTATCAAAGATGATTGAGTTAAGATTTGTAGGGGTTAGGAAATCTATACAGAAATAGTCCCAAATTAGAAATTGGCCCCTATTCCAAGGAATAGAACATTTATTAGCATTTATTATAACATTAACCTTTTTAAGTTAACATCAACCCATAATTTTAAAAAAAACAAAGCTTTCAAGCACCCCATAAATAAAAAGCCAGCAAGTTAGTTATATGGTAATATTTATGATAGAATAATAAGATCCACTTCTCTAAGATTAGATTGAAATCATTAAATATTTCCATGAAACAATACCTAGATCGCAAAATGCTTGAAAATCTATTTACAACAATCTTACTAAGTCAGCAGCTAGGAAAATAATTGTTTATGAGGAATTAAAGTTGATTTTTAATTTGATAATTAAAAAAAAGAGTAATATATATAATCAAAAAAAAAATTTTCCTTTTGGTACAGAACAAGCCAAGACCAAAATGGTCCAATTTGGTTTAAACCAATAAAATCAAGCCATTGACCTTCACTAATGCAAAATAACAAAAATATTGTTATTTAATAAGTTTAAAAATCTATGTTAAAAAATAAAGGCATAATGATTCAATTCAAAATAAAAAATATTAAAAAGGACCATGTTATTTTTTAAATTATTATGTGATAATAATGTTCTTGGGATTTTTTTAATCTTATCTATGAAAGTTTATAGGGAAATCATATGATCAAATTTTAACTCTCATTCTAAAAAATTTCTATAATTATATTATATTTTAGGGAAGCTATGATATAAAGATTAAAATTTGGGATGAAGATACAGAAATTGGCTGCATGAAATTTCCATTTGTGCTATAAATTATTAATATATCATTGTAATAAAAAAAATAAAAATGCAAAGTAGTAAAAGTAAAAAACATTTCACAGTGGGTGATTCAGCTTTATTACATTATTTATATATTTTTTTGTAACATATTGGCAAAACGATTACTTATATATAAGGATACATCAATAAAACGATCGACGCAATATGATATACAATATTCTTGTTTAGATTCAAGTTTATTTGATAGCTTATTTGTAGAAAGGCATTTATCCCAACAGGTGTTATTTAATTTATGAACCATTAAAGAATATTGAGCCTTTTGTTGTTCAAGTATAATTTCTTTTTGCGTTTGAGAGTCTAATGTTATATTGGTTTTATCCACTTGAATAACATTTTTAAAAAAATATGAACATAATATTTAAAACTTTTTCTTCTGTTATTGTTAGCAATATATCGAAAATCTCGAAATAAATAAAGTTATATTTCCTCCAATACTTCATTTTATTTCTCATATTGTGATTGGAAATTATATTACGTTTAAAGCTGATCTACTATTGGTAAGCAATAATGTATTAAGATGCAACTGTCTGAATGATTGTATTTTATATTATAATAATTATTGTTAACCACTTATGATGAAAGTAAATAAGCTATAGACTTAGCCTATAAAAATATTGAAATGAAATTTATCAATGAAATATTTATTTTATCTTAGATAATCTTATCTTATTTTGGCCTAACTGTTTATTTTTTGAACGTTTAAAGTGACTGGAGATCTTCAAAGCCCGGCCCAAATGGAAGACTTTGATGGACCAGACCAGACTCGGTAATTTGCATAAAATATTTCAGACCGGACAATTTCATCATAAAAAATCAGGCAGGGCCCTGTATTTTTCTAATATCTCGTAAAATTTTAATAGTTTTGATATATTTTTAACATTTCAAGCGAATATTTTTATTTGGATTAATACTACAAATAAATAACAATGTTTATTATTTTTGTATTATAGGGCTACAAACTAAATTACCAAATCTATAATATAAATTCGCAAAAAATTAAACATTATGTAATATACAGTAGAGATAGCAAGCACAACCAGGCGCGTACGCAGCGGGGGGGGGGACAGGGGGACAAATCCCCCCCCCCAAAGCCAAAAAATGCAGATGCCGGATTATATTTTTCAAAAATATTATTGTTAATATTAATTTATATTTGTTAATATGTATTCTTATCTCATATATACATATATATATATATATATATATATATATTTAATTACATTTATTTATTACATTCATCTACTAAGTTATTTTATCAATCAATTTCGATTTCAAGTTTTCCTTGGCGTAATTAACCTATTATTTTCAAATTTTAGTGGCGTAATATTTATCTAAATTTCTAATAAAATAATAATTATCTCTGAAACTCCTTGTCCAACAGGGAGAAAAAAATTGCAAGCTTGTCCAACGAGATCGAGTCTCCGCCACAGTAACAGCTATTTTGGAGTTAGAAGAGCTGATTATTAATGCTATTACTGAAATATCACAATGGCTTGAAAGAAATATTTCCTCAGAAGCAAGAAAATTATTGGATTCAATACTTATTCCAAATTTTTTTTCTCATTAGAATGTATTATTTAATTATACAACTATTTTATGTAATACTTTTCAAAAACATAACATTGACTTGATTAAGAAGATGAGAATAGCGGAGAGCATTTTATTAGAACTCAAGGAAATAGAGCTAGTGTTGTTGAAGAATTTCATATTTTATATGTTATTGTTGAGTCAAAAGCAGAGCTATACGTGTTAAATATTTGTCCCCCTCGACTTGCAGCAAGCAAGCTCATCATCAAAACATTAATATAGGATCAGTAGAAGAGTATTATAAAACAAATGTCCCCTCTCCCAACCTTTTTCATATGGTGATAGAAAAAAATATAAATATTTGTTATATTTTTATCATGAAGATGTTAAAATATCTTATGATGCCTTATTAGCTGAATAACTATGATTAAAAGATTAACTATGGTTGATACAGTCCCAAAAAATGCTATGGATGCTTTTTATTTCAAACACATTTTAGATTATACTCCCAATTATTAAAATGGTTATATATATATTAGCAGCTCTTTAGTAAACTAATGAGAGAACATTCACTTTTTTAAGAAGAATAACAGAGCCTTGCAGAGGTACCATTTGCAGGACCAGGCCCAGATTTAATTTTAAAATTTTTTCCGGCCCGGGTTTTTTTTAAACAGGCCCGGCCCGGCTGGCTTAGCCCGAATTTTTTAAAATAAATTATATTTATTTTTGATATTTATAGCTAATAATGGCGATTTCAAATATTTGGTTTTAAAATATACAACTCGGCTCGGATATTTTTTCTTAAAAAATTTTCAGGCCCAGCCCGGGTGTTTTTAAAAAAAAATTACGGGCCCGGCCCGGGTATATTTAAAAAAATTAAAATACGGTCCGGCTCAGGGGCCGGGCCTGCAAGTCTGTGAAAAACATACCTATGAAATACAACATCTGAAAGTAGATTGAATGATTTGGATCTTTTGAATATTCATAGACATTTAACGCCAAGCAAGGATTGATAATTGAAAAATTAGCTCAAAACATACAAAATACAATTATTCCTAAGAAACTTTTTGTGTATTAATTTATATTTACAACATTTAAATTTTTTATACATTATATATTTTAAAAGCTCAAAAAATTCAAATTTCAATTTTGGGTCATTTAGGTGATTTATATAGTGGGTTATATTCACTTTATATTTTATGATTCACATTTAAATGCCGGTTTATATATATAATTTTTTTAATTCACATTAGTTTAAAATTGTGTATTAGAAAAGTTATTAATCCTAATAAATTTATGCTTAGTATTTTTAATTAAAAATATTATTTCTTAAAAAAATTTATTATCCCCCCCCCAGACCAAATTCCTGCGTACGCGCCTGAGCACAACCTATTCCTAAAATGGTAATTGTGGAAAGAAATGTGATAGAGAGAGACAGGCACATATCCAAGAATTTTCTATCGATAGCGTCTATACATGAGCCGTTGGGGTAGGAACAGTTTGCATCAATTTTTTTAAGGGGGGAGGGGGGGGGGGTTAGGGGGAGGTATTTAAGAGGAGTAGACAAGCGGTAGGGTATTACTAGTGGATTATCTATTAATTTTTACATGAAATAGAGCAAAATGCATTGCTGTAAAAAATTAATGCTTTATTTTAGATTTATAATACAATGATATTGCAAACATAGACCAAATCTATATATTGCACACAATCATAGATATGCTATCCTTTTAAAAGTAAATTAAAAGGATTAATTCTAATAGTAATCTCATATTCATGCCAAACAATATAATATAATAATTCATAAATTGTAAATGGGGTTTTTAATTGAATTCATGTTCCAAAAATGACTCTTTTACGTTCACAATATTTATAGTTGGTAGTAGAGCATTATTAATTTATTCTTTTAAAATTTGTGATGGGAGGGATTACCATTATAATTAAAAATATGTAATTAATAATATGGAAATATCGTCGCAGGAGTGGGGGGGGGGGGGGTAATTTGTTTTTTTGGAACACTTAAAATTTAATGGGAATGATTATCATAAAATATATTATAACTAATCATATTTTAAAAAAGACAATTTTAAACATAAATAATAAAATATTGGAAAATGCTGAATATTTGAGTGGATATGGATATAATATTGTTATAAAATAAAATCATAATATAAAATTAAGCATTATATGTGATTTAAAAAGTTAATCAATATACCCTTCCCAAATTCAAATTTAATCTTATATGCAATTACCACAATTCAATAGGTTGTTCTTGGGGATGATGTCAGAATGTTCATGTATATTAAGTCGAACTAGTCCAATCGATTTTTTGATGTCGTAATTATAACTAGAGTTGTTAAAAGGCTCGATTTAAGCCGATTTTTAAAAACGGCTAACTTAATATTTTATTCAGAAAAAATATTATGCAAGCCTAAAGATTTTTTTTTCTCTAGATGACACATGGGTATGGACATCTTTAACGAAATCTCGAGGCTTAGGCAATAATTTTCTGACTAAAATATTTAGTTAGCCGTTTTTAAAAATCGACGACGTTTAACAACATTACTTCTAATACTGCATTCACAGTTAGCGCGAATTCGCTGCAAAGTATATAAAAATACAACAAATTTTGTATACTTCGCCACGAATTCGCCCTAACTGTGAAGAGTAACCCCTCATTATTTTGTATAATTCGCAGCGTTACGCTAACTATGAATTAGCGGTAATATAGGTTTTAATTCTTCGTATGAGTATACTAATGGAATTGTTGGCAAAAAATAATCTTCAATTTATCTGAAATGTTTTAAAATTTAAAGTATGTAGTGCTTTAATATATAAATCTTTTTAATTGGAAATCTTGATGAATTAAATTCTATAAAAAATTTTATAAATGATTTTTCCTTTCAATATAAAAATCGTTTATTATTTTAAAATGTAATAGATCACTATTTAAATTATGTAGTTTATGCACCTTACATACAGAGTGAACAATAAATTAGTTCAAAATTACGATCAGTATACAATTATATATGGATATATAAGGAAATATAAAGTAAGAAATCTGATTAAAGTTAATTTAGCCTTTGTAGGAAGGAAAAACCTTCTGGTTCATTTGTAAGTTTACTGATTTGGGGTATTATGTGTGATATATACAATAGGTATGAAAATATGATCATCGGAAATTTCTTAATATTTTGAGATTTTTTGTTCTTTTGGACGAGGATAGCGGTCTGCAATGGGTAGGTTTTCGGCCCGTCCGAGCCTCGGTCGGGCGTGATCGGATTCTAAAATATTTTCAATATTTGTTGGGGGGCGGGCGGGTCAAAAAATTTTAAAGTAATGGCCGAGCTAATTTTTATTATTTTTAAGGCGAAATAAGAAGAACAGACTTTAATTAAAAATAATAGTTTTATTTCATAATATTGCATATTATATATGTTTAATT